TCACCAATTTAATCTATCAGATACCTTTTAGGACTGTAATACTATATCGTACATGATTCTGCTTATATATTCTACACTGAAGGGTGGAATCTTAAAAATGGTATTCAAGAAAGGTCGCTCAAGGGGATGGTTTACATTACAAGAATTCTCCTGTGAAGTTAAGGAATGGCAATTTCTTTAACATTTTGTTTTAACATGACTTGCGTGTGTCACAAATTTGGGCATTGTTTCTGTGATTTTTTACGAGAGAAATATCAGGAACTCTATAGGTAAAAATAAAATTTATATGAAGTAAAGAACTCCTGTTCCTTTTAAAATAATTTTGTGCAAAAGGCACAGGTTTGGTTATAGGTAAATATGTCACAACGCCAGTTATGACAAATTCGAACAGTGTTCAAACACACGTGGTTGGCTTTAAGTTGTAGAATTTTCCAAAGTAGTGACATTATCATCGATCGAATATTCGCGATTTTCACAGAGATTAACGGACAAAAGCATTTTAAAAGGGACAAAATCCCTGTTACAGGAGTCATGTTAAAACAACATGACACAACTTGAGAATTTGACTTTAAGTTCATCCAGACTCAACACTATATGCTGTTAAAATTTAAACAAGATTAGCTAAGTATTGAGGACGAGCATAACCGACAAACATATATTAGAGGGCTGTTTAATAAATAAAATTTGTTTAATAAAAAAATGATGTTTTATTTTTCAACATAGTTCCCATTCAGCTCTACACCTAGTCCAGCGATTTCAGATTTTTTTATACCCTCGGAAAAGTTTAATGTATCGCGTTCATGCCAAAGCAATTGATTCTAAAATGAATTTCGAGCTTTTATCAAAAAATATATATTTTTAAACATTGGTCAGCTTTTCGAATTAAAGCCGAGCTAAACGAAGTTCATTGAGACTAAGCTCCATTATATTTAGAACGATTTATTTCTAGATAAATTAATTTAAACGTAGCCGAAAATCTACACAAGACGAACCACGTCCCGGGCGGCCTATGATATAACCACGCCAGAAATGGTATCAAAATTCCACTATATCGTTATGGAAGTTCGACTAGTGAAAATATATGAGATAGCTGAGACCACGGGCATCTCATTAGACAGGCGGTACACCACATCCTTCGTGTAAAATTACAGATAAACTGAGTACCGCGATTTCTTACGATCGACCAAAACGCTTGCGGAAAGACATTTCTCAGCAGTGGGTATCGTTTTTCACTCCTAATATTTGGGTCTTTTGGCGTCGTTTTGTGACGGTAGACGAGAGCTGGATACTCTATTATACATCAGAGTCAAAACATCATTCAAAACAGTGGACAGGTCCGAGTGAAAGGGCTTCAAAGAAGGCAAAAATCGTTGTGTCAGCCGGAAAGCCAGTATTCTCAAGAAATAATTCTAATTGACTACTTCAAGATGGAAAACAACAGAGGAGTGTTTCGCAACACTTCTGGATCAATTTAAGGAAGAATTGCGTTCTAAAGGTCCGATATTGGCTCGGAAAAATGTGGTTTTTCATCACGATAATTCTCAGCCCCTAGGTCGAATGTAGCAGCTGCCAAATTGTTCAAATAAGGTTTCCAATTGGCCCCTCCTCCATCTTATTCTCCAGATTTGAACCTTTGTAACTTCTTCCTTTTTCCAAATCTAAATAAATTACTTGGAGGTTAAAAATTTTATCCAATGAAGATTTTTTCGATGATGTAAATGAATATTTCGAGGACCACGAAACATCATACTTTTATAAGGGGATTAAATAAAATCCGAATATCGCTGAACCAGGTTTGTAGAGCTGATTGTGTTGAAAATTAAAAACATATATATTATTTTCCGAAAACATTTTTTCTTTATCATTCTTCACCTTACTTATCGAACACAGCCCTCGTACATACATGAATACATACGTTGACTTTTACGTATATAGAGATAGAGCATTTCCTGATCGTAAAACTAAAAGTTGCTGACATCAATCTATCTGAATAAATAGCAGAGGAAATTTGAGTTTTAATAAAAATCAGTCATAATCTTATTATTTTAATTATTTGAAATAAAATATAACTACATAAACTCTTTGAGCTGTTGGCTATTACCAGCATGGAGCCACTCAGTCACCAATCAAGATGGCCACAGAGGCTTCTGCTCTTACCAATTACATAAAGAAGCCATGGAAAACTTTCCTTACCAAGACGGAAGGGAAGATAAAGACGAGATAGTGTGGATAAGACACGGCGACACCTGTCACATTCCCCAACAACTCCAGGATATAAATGTCACAGAGTTGTACCCACAGTAAGTCAAAACTGTCAATCATGAAGGTCTTTGTCTGTTTGCTTGTTCTGGTGACGTATGTCGCAGCGAAGGTAAGTGATAAACTTATCAACACTGTACAATAATGCATTCTGTCAACCTCTAACTAGAGTATACCCTTACATAAATACATTTCTGTGTTCATCTTGAACATTTCTATAATTCAATAGTAGGAAAAAAGTTTAAATTATTCCATGTTATTTAAATATATTAGAATTTTCATCATTTATAAAAGTAACTCACTTGACAGGACCACTCCAAGTTGTGTTTGAGTGCTCGACCATAGAAGTCGACGCAAGAAGGTTGCTAAGTTGCAAACAAAATCTCAGAATATTAACAAAATAATATTAAAAAACTCAATATTATTTCATTGTCTATTTAGAGCCGATCTTGCTTTACTTTTTTTAAGGGAGTTTATAGAGTTATATATATATATATATAGGGGGGTCTTTGTGTTCACCATCTCAAATGATAAAAAACCAACTTGGAGCAATATTTCGTCTACATTTAATAAATTCATTTAGCTGTTCCATTTGTTAAACCAAATTCTCGAGGCCGCAGAGTAGATAATCACACACTCTTTAACTATGTGTTTTATTTTATATATAGGGATGTGTGTTAGGTTGAGATAACAATAAATCTGAGGTGAATTTAAACATCGGTACATTTCTTCCGGAAATTATAATTTTTTAAAATAAAGGGCATTTTTCAGGTTTAAATAATCATATTTTGTGCTTCAATTTTTTTTCTTTGTTCCCAGTCATTTACTCGCCTCGATTTCCGACTTGAAAATAGCGTTCGCCAATATAACTGAATGAGGATTGATTAGATTGGTTTTGTGAAATCAAGGTTGCCCTATCGAATTCACCAAAGCTGACATTGACTATTTTTTCTAGATATACCGAATATTCTTGCACTCTGGATAGCCCATATTGGCGTCTTTGACCGACTATATTTGCATGTTCTATTGTCCATATAAGCACATTGTACCGACCATATTTACTTCTTATACCGACCATATTTGCGTGTTATACCGTCCATGTAAGGACCTTGTACCTGTTTGATATTATATCATTCAAATATTAATTTTTATTCTTTGAATATAATAATCTGTGATTTAATAATCTGTGGTATTAGGCATGTATATATTTAAGCTAATATCGATTTCCGAAGTGTGTGAGGTAATTTATATAAATAGTTATATTTAGAGACAAGTAATTTTTCACAGTTATGTTAACTTAAATATATTCAGAAATTTATGTTCACTTAAATTATTCAGTTTGTATCTTCAATATAAAGAAGATATTCATTTTAAAAAAGTAATAATTACGATCCACCCAACAGTACCGACCATATTTGCACGTTGTATTGACAATATTTGCACGTTTTACCGATCATATTTGCATATTGTTCCTATCATATTTAAAAATTATATCGACCATTTTTTAACCTTTTACCGAACATTATTTGAACCTTATATACTGACTATATTTTCATGTTGTGTACCAACCATATTTGAATATTGTTCCGACCATATTTGAAATTATATAAGCCATATTTACATATTGTATGATTTGTCCAGGACTGCTATGAAGATAGGGAATGCGGGAAGGAAGAATGCTGTGCCAGAAAAATGTCAATTGTCAAACAATGCTACGCTAAGCCTAAGTCAGGTCAGTATTGAAGTTGATGGACTTGGCCTGCAGAAACCTCTGGTGCAATATGACATATCAGTGGACAATTATTGATTCAATATTTAAATCTATCAAATTTAATATTCTTCACACAGAGTGCATGCAATGAGAAAAATAAATTGGAAATTATGATTCATTTATGGTGAACACCCCCAACGGCCGGTTTGAACTACTAGACCGTTATATGGGTCAAAATACAACTACAATAGTCACGGTAGATAGTGAATTATCTTAATTATATAAATTTAATTTATTGCGTAGCCTTATCTACATCAAAATATATTAAGCCATGAAAGTTATCTACAGGAGAGATGATTACTTAGATATATTAACTATTCTATGAATAATACATTATTTTCTGGGGATTTAATATGGATATATGGTGGTGGTGATGTCTTGTCCATGGAACAGATCAGATCGGTCCATGCACCCTGATCACAATACAGGCCAACTGAGGTGCCTTGTCCGTATGAATGTTCTCTTCTCGATTGATGTCTGCCATAATGAAAGCTGCAAGGATGGCCGGGCAATTGTATATATGGTCCGGAGTGAGTTGGGTGTTGAGGCATTTATTGCAGTTCCTATAAGTTCTAGTCATGTCAGGGTTTATATTCATTGCTTGAAAATGTCCTGTTCTGATTCTTGAAATTGCTGTTGTTGATTCTCTGTTAATGTTGAGGTTGCATATGAGCTGGGATATTTTGATTTTTATAATGAGTTTTGCTTTTGCTATAATATGAATATATTATACATAGGATTGAAAAATTTTGGAAGGGTTAACTATCTATGAGCCGGGTTCTCTCAATATATTCCTCATTATAAGTAGAAACATTAGAACATTTATTTCAATTAGAAAATGTCTTAGTGCAGAGATTCTCGATTTTGTAATCGATGGCGGGTATAAGGCTCTATAAAGAAACTGTACTTAGAAATGTTTCAGAGTTCAGTTGGCTATTTGATATATGAGTACAGTCGAACTACTTCTAAAGTATCGGTGGTACAGTGGTAGAATGCCCAATTGCCAAGCGGGTGGCTCAGGGTTCGATTCCGCTGATTCAATTTATTTATTTTTTAAAGTTTCTAAAATAAATAAAAAATATGACGTTAATATACATATAAAACGAAAGCAGAAGAATATAATCTTTAAATATACTATTATATAATTATAGGTCTATTATATCATATTTCCCATTTATCTGGTGGATTCAATTGGCGACATCGCTGAGAGCTAGGATATCTCAATCGTTTACACTTAGTTTAATAATTATACTCATTGACAAAACTTAAGGAAGTTGTACCTTTTAGCATATATATGGGGGGTCGGTAGAAAGGTGATTTAAACCGTTGGTTTTTGACCGCTACGATCCGATTTCGAATCCTGCATTGGAAATGTTTCTAATGAAAAAAAAATTCCAATAACCCCAATTTTCGTAAAGGTCCAACCCCACCAGCGAGTATAAGTAACCAAACGGTGCTCTGGTGCACTTGTAAGTGCAAGGTCGAGCTGCTTTTTACATGTGTAGACATGTGGTGCATTTACAGTCAAAGCAGTCGCCAACTTCTACTCACCATGATTATCATGGCCTGTACCACGTGTACTAGGGATCATTAAAAAAAAAAGCATATATATGAACATTCATACACTGTGACCATTATTGAATACACAGGAGATGTGTGAGTGTTTATATATCATAAAAATAAATAGCGCTGGATAATTCCATTATCGACCTAAAGATGGCTCTACATGTTTAATCTACTATAATCTTATGTTGCTACACATCTTATGATCTCTCTCCCATATGTTGTATTTCACATTGTCCATGTGTGTGTTGTAGGAGAGAAATGTTTCAGGTTCCTAGGATGCCCATGTGCCCCAGGATTCAAATGTTCGGTAAGCCTTCCAGAAGCTTAACCTATTTACATACAATCAACAACATTCGAAGACACATGTTTATTGCGATTCTATACACTCACAATTTAAATTTATCATCTCGAATATTCAGAATATAAATAATTATTAAATAAAAATACATTAAAAAAAGCTTTTATTTAAATTCCCTAAAAATGAAAAGATATATTTCATCTTCTGATATTGAGCAATTAGATTTATCTGAGTGAAAATAAAAGCGGCGGGGGACAATCATCATGAATTTCGAACCTAATGTGATTTAATATGTAGCAACTGATTAGCGATATTTATAAGTGTTTGCGATATTTTTACCTCTTTTCTAGATATGATCGTCACTCGCCGCTTTTATTTTCACTCAGATACATCTAATTGCTCAATGGCAGAAGATAACATATTTTCTTTTTTTCTTTTTAGTGCATTTAAATAGAAGCTTTCTTAATGTATTTTTTAAAATTAATTATTCAATTGATTTTTAGTCATGAATTTACAAAACTTAAAATCAAAAGTTTACTGGGGATTAGGCCAAAAATATATGGAAGCCTGCTCGCGGCGGATTGGTCACTTCCTTGTTAGAGGTGTAACACAAGACTTAAAAAGATATTTAGAAATTTTTTCATTCCTGGCCACCCAGAAGTTTAAAAATGTGTACACTTGCATTGTTTATTGGACTGAGTGAGTCTTAAAGGTTCCAACATATATTTGATCTGAAAGTATATTAAAAATAAATTTAAAATTTTGAAAAGCATTTTGAAAATGTGTCCGTTCCTGACCGAGAAGTCTGAAAATTTGTCAACTTGCATCGGAGTCCAAATTTTAGTGCGTGCGTTAAATACGTGCTCTAGAAGTATATTAAAAAATATATTACAAGATTTGTGAACAGACAGACAGGGAAGCAAGTTGAATAAAATCTTTTCAAATAACGTAATCATATATATATATACATTGAAAACTTTCCTGGAAATATATATTTTATTAATTAGTTTAATATTATCATAGCATCAATATATACTTCTAAATAACAAAAATTACAAAATGGCGCGCACTTCTAAAATGTATTGCTTTATGAAGATAAAGTATTCGAAATATTTAAATGAAAAAGTTTTAAGTAATGTTTAAAAGATAAAAATGAGTTTTTAGTTAATTTTAAAAGCAAACGTTATCGGAAACTAAAACATATTTATATTCTTGAAACAAATATGAAATCCCGTGTTTCAGGCATTATGTAAATATGTTTAGCCTATATATCTATCCTTTATATAATTTGCATATTATTTCTCAATTTACATAGATAGGCGGTGGAAGGACAACTAATATTATAATAATGATTAGATTCAAAAAGGATGAGTTTCTTTATTTGAAAAATTAATTCGAGCTTTCGGGCGCAAGCTAATGTAATAAAAGTAATAAAAGCAAGGACAACGAATGTCTAAAAAATTTTGCTTTTCAAAATCAAAAAGCAGATTGTATTAACCATTTATTATTCTACAAACTTTCATTAGTTTCACATATATTTTGAATGATGGGATTCATTTTCTGTATTACATTATAGCAGAGAAGGAAAAAAGGAGGGAAAAAGTTGAAGCAGCTAATAAAAAAAGGATAAATTCATTGGAGTTTAAGAACTTAAATATAAAGGGAATATATATTAAAAATAAAGAAGGCATATTCTGACCAAGAGCACATGTCCTCCTGGTCAGGATAGGCTTTCTTTATTTTTATTATCAACACCTGACCTTTTTATTATTTTTTCTATTTTTCTTTCACACACACACACACACACATATATATGGATAAATAGGGTTATGTAAAAATATAATAAAAATAGATCATTCGAAAATAGAATTATTCATAAAACGTTTGTTCACCAGAGGCCTTTCGTACACACTGCGCGCTCACGATCTTTCACCTATCCTATTTTTACCATTTTTATACGTGCTGCAAATTTTGTTAATACAAGTATCAATGCCTTTGCTGGTTAAGACAATTTTGACAAATATTCATTCGGTAAAATTCATTGCCAAGCCAGGGTCTTCGTGCCTAGTAACACAGAGAAAACTTAAAACATGATACCATGTCATATAGCCCCTTTTTTCCAAAAGAAGCCCAATAGTACTCGGATCATTATTTTTTATCACATATTCTTTAGCTCTCTACTATAATATTAAAATGTTATTCCAAACCCTATTAAATTATTTCAGTAATGTGGGCACACTCTCATTGATTTTATTTATTCAAACTTTATTTATTTTCTTATATATCAAATGTGTGTTTGAAAACATTAATACGCAAATGTATCTTTTCACAAATTGATCAAACTTCTACTTTCCTTACTGCAAAAAATGAATGATCCAATACAGTATTAGAGCTCTAAAGAAGCGGTCTGGTATATTAAATTGGAAATACTGCTGGGAGGGTTCACCACGGATGAGCCAAGTCCTCTCAATATTTTTTCATCGCAATTAGGACAGTTGAAGTTTGATTAATTTGTGAAAAGAGAGAGAGATACATTCGCGTATTATTGTTTTTATTTGTTATATATAGATGGCGCGTTATTGCTTTATATTCGTATATATATTTAAATAATTTGATTTCATATTGGGATTTCGCTTTGGGAACGAACTTGTAATACAGCCTAGTATTTTATTTGTATGAACAAATTCGCGAATTCTTCTCTTTCATGTGCGATGGACTAATATTGTGTAATATTAAGATTGAGAATTCAGATTTAATAAACATACCTGGATGTTTTCTATTTTGTCCAACGGAATCTGGGTTGAGCAGCTGGCCCAGCACATCTGTGTCCCCGATGGCAGCGTCACCGATGAACCAGACACTGAGCCACCGACCGCTGAACCTGTCGCCGAAGACGAATAAAAAGTTCACCTTCTTGAGTTATCAAGCGAGTCTCTTCTTAAAAATTGTAAAAATATTAAATAAAAATCTTAACATTTCACTGTTTTTGCTGCTATTCCCTCATTGTCTTATTTCCTCATTTATCTATAATGTATTTTTTAGATATTGAACAATTTTTACCATATTTGCTAAGAAAATTTTCCATATTGGCAAATTTCTAAAATCATATACATATTAAGAATGTAAAATATTATTTTAAAATATATATAAAATTATATATCAAGGTAATCGTAAAGATTGAGGCTACCTCGACGTCATTCAAAGTTCTTCAAATTGAATGTACTTCGGCCAGTAAACCTTTAGTAAACCAGTAAAAGATTTGATGGCCGAATTTTCTTTAATTTTAAGAATTATTCAAGGTAGGTTGTTATTTATTGCTGTTATATGCTATTGAATCAAATGGGCAACATGTCAATGTGAATTATTCCAGGCAGGATTTGTTGTGTTCTAAATCTCTGAATAGTTTTATTACATGGTTTTCCTTGATGCAAACATCAATACATATTATATATTTTAAAACTATTTTAGAGGCGTAATATTCTTTTTAAAATAAAACAATTTCTACTGTCCTTACTGCGATGGAAAAATTAAAGGGAGGGCCTGGCTCATCAGTGGTGAACCCTCCCAGCGGTTTCGTCAGTTTAAATCATTGCTTGACCGGCTAATTTGCATAAAATACGAGTTAGAAATTTTTGATTTCGGGTATTCTAATCGAAAGTGGAATAATAAATTTGTGTATAAAATTGCATTGATAAATGTTCAATAAAATTTGAGATAAATGAAAAAATATGTTGTTCCTTTAATTTTGCGGACCAGTGTATTTATTACGCCTCTAAAATAGTTTTAAAATTTGATAACAGATGGCGCTCTAGTACATCGTAACATATTATATATCTTTAATATTTAGGCCTTCAAATACACTGGTCCGCAAAATTAAAGGAACAACATATTTTTTCATTTATCTCAAATTTTATTGAACATTTATCAATGAAATTTTATACACAAATTTATTATTCCACTTTCGATTAGAATACCCGAAATCAAAAATTTATAACACGTATTTTATGCAAATTAGCCGGTCAAGCAATGATCTTCTTGCAGTCAGTGCATAACTATCTTGGATATTGTTGTTAATTTGGGGTGTGACTGCCTTTAACTGATAGACAGGCTCTACATCGGTGACCCATACTAAGAATTAGGGAGTTTATCAGCTCCTGTGGAATCAACACCCACTCT